GTCTGTCTGTCTGTCTGTCTGTCTGTCTGTCTGTCTGTCTGTCTGTCTGTCTGTCAGTCTGTCTTCCACACACACACACAAGCACACACACACGAATGGGTCTTTTTGCAAGTTCATAAAACACATGTGGACGCACACAAATGCATACACATCAGCATCCTCTCACAATAAGGAAAGAAGATGCAAAAGAACAACGTAGTAATAAAGAACCACCATCACCAAATCATGTCCTATGCTCTCCGAAAGCCATCTGAAGGTTACTCTTCCTTGATTTCACAGATGAAAGCCCACCTTGCTTGTCAGTTAGGACTCATTGTACTGGCTGAAGTTAGCTTAGGGGCACTCCTTAATGGAAAAGAGGCATCTGCAATTGTGCAATCGGCCAGAGTTCTGACTGAAATAAATCTGTTTTGAACCCACCACAATTAGACAGGCAGTAAACGCGTGCGCTTAATATAAGCCATAACAAAGACAATGGCTAGACTTATAATTATATCAGTGTGTCTATAACCAGCCAAAGTCATGACCAACCATCTGGTAGAATTTGGCGTTAAAAGGCCTATAGAAATCCCTGAGTCGCTGTAACACCTTCGAGTCGACGTCCGGGTGATCACGTCCTTTCGTTTTCTCATCCAGACAATGGGGAACTCCATGTCTCATAATACAAGGGAAAGTGCCCTTGAATCCACGTAGGAAAAAATGCTCGTCTCTGATGAAGGGTGGTAAACCCAGAAACTTCTCCACTTTAGCCATCTCCTTGGCAGGGTCACTCACTAGCTTGTGGCCGTCTACAAGGTGGATCTGGCGCATGGGGAACACTTGGAGCCATCTCTCCATATGTTTGGCGTAGATGCCGATCTTGATAGCAGCCCATGACGTATTGATAAGACCCAGACGAGGATCCAGCAGGGCCATGTGCTCAAAGGAGTCTAGGGGGCGTTTGGTGGACGCCTGTACGTAGTCCGAGATGGCCCGGGTCACGGGGTCACGGACAACGAGGAGGAGTTTGATTTCCGGGTTCATTTGATGAAGGAGGCGTGGCACTTCAGGCGTGATGAAGTAGGCTGGCGTCTTCTCCAGAGTGAGTTGGTCGCTGTAGGAGCGGGGCATCAGCTCTCTGGGGAGAGAGGAAGAAAGAAGAAGATATTGAGGGCGTTGTCATGCTACTGAATAATGTAATTCTTCTCCTGTCTTTGTAATTCTCTCTCTCAATATATACATGTGCCTACATATTTCATTTAAACTTTTAGTTCTGTTGTATATTTATTACTGAAACAGTAAACAGCGTAGTCAGAGAGAATGAGAGAGGCAAACCTATAGCGAGAGGGGCAAACTCAGATGAACAGAGAGAGACGCTGAGAGAGAGGGGGAGAGTGGAGAGAAAAAAACGACACAGAGAAATAAAGAAAGAGAGAAAAAAAGAAAGAAAGAAAGAAAGAGAAAGAGAGAGAAAGAAAAAGAAAAAAATGAAAGAGGGAGAGAGAGAAAGGGAGAGAGAGAGGGGGGGAGAGGG